AATGAAAGTGGGCAAGTAGATGCTGGCCTTCTGGGTATGTGGAGGTTTATAGGCTTCATGCCTATCAGTAAAAAGTCAGCTTTCCTTTTAATAGCTTGGTTTAAAACATGCATGGGCTGTAGCCATGGAAGATAATTGCATTGCCCTGCAATTTTGCACAATTTTGTTAAATTTCCTGTTCCATACAGGCTGTTGCAATTATGAAAATGGCTTATAACATGAATGTATGAGGTTGTTTCTCAGTGCATACAAGACAGATAATGAAACTTGGTTAGAATGGGGGTGCTTTTTAAGTGTTCCCGTATAAACCCATCCAGATGAAATTGTTCCAGGCTGCCAGTCCTGATGACTGTGTCTGTTAAGAAGGTTTCTTGTGTTCTGTGTAGTGTCGGAGTCCGTTTGCTCATGGTTCTGTACCCAGCTTCCTGACCCCGGACAGTGACACCGCCAAGCTGATGGTGGAGCTTCTGCTGAAACTTCACAAGCTTGCTGGTTGGGAGCCAATAACTGCCGTGCTGTGCAGAAATAACCGCAGTCCACAAAGAACAGCAGCATCCTTTGGCAGGATCCATGAGCTTGTTCCTGCAGCTGGTTGATGTGAGCTGACATCTACTGTTTCCGTTCAGTGGGGTTAGTATTGCCATTCTGGACAAGCCATAAGAAAAGGCAGTTTCTAAAAAGGGAGTCTGTCCATCTTAGGGCATGGAAAAACCTCTCAAACATAAAGTAGTGATCGCTTACTGAACTGTACCTCGCCTGCACCAGGGAGTAGAGGGGGGTGATGGCAGTCTCTGAAAAGGGTAGACGATTGACAGGGTGTCGGAGGAACAACACACCTTCAAGTCTCTGAACAAAAATACATTCTCTTTTATGAAAATGTGGGAAACCTCTAAACTGACAAAGACCTGTCATATAGGAGTATGGTTTAAAATGCAGAATTTATTGCTGTAGGAATTTATTGAGGCAAAAAATGCATAAAACCATGAAAAATAAGGGGATATTTTACATGGGTAACAATGTTAATAGCTCTTGCAAATTTACATTAAGCATTCTGCCTCAAGGCTTAAGGCAATCCCCAGCTCTGGGAGATTATGGGGTTTCTTGCACCTTTCTCCGAAGCGTCTGGCATTGGCCTCTGCAGAAGACAGGATATTGGATTAAAAAAAAAGCCTCAAATAGTTTCATCTGCTATGCGAGTTTCTGTGTTCAAATACTCACTGTCAGTGGTGGCTTCTGCACAATGATGACATTCTCTTCTCAGTTGTTAAAGGAACCCAAGGTGTAGCATCTGCATCTGAAGTTTTGAGAGCAAACTGGTCATTATCTGCAGTAACTTCTCCCTTAGCGGTGTTACTGAGTTCCTCGATTGAATTGTGCTTGGGCTCTGCTGTACAGCTGTCAGGTGTGGCTTTGAGTATCCTGAGCTTCCGTGGGCTCCGTGGTGGCATCCCGCTACTGGGAAAATGGTGCTGCCCCGCCTGGCAAAGGGATGCCCAGAGTCCCCTTCCCTGTGACGGAGATTTGTAATAAAGGCAGGTCTATAAAAGGTGGATCTTAATTCTGTATGGAAAAAAGGCAGTGTGTTTGAGAGCCCTGCAGGTTTTTGCTATCCCTTTAACATTTATGGAGATTTTAGGCATTAGGCTTTTAAGCTGCTTTGTTGAAACTCATTTGACAAGGACTTGCACAGATGGTGCTGTACTTCCCATCTGAAATGTGATGGTTTTTAATTTCCCTTGGGTCGTCTCAGTGAATCTGGCCAGAATTTCTTCAATGGATATTTGTCTCCTGTATCTCTGACTTGCCTATCTGAAATAAAATTCAGTCTGATAGGAGCAGTATGTGGTGCCTTTAACTGTAGGCAGAGCTAGCACCTTCAGTCATCTGTTTCATCCCTGCTGTGTTCAGTAATTACTGCACTATTGATGTGTTTGGTCCAATGTGCAGAAGTCATAAAATACTGAAATCTGCTTCTCTTCAAAGCAGATTTTTTTTCTGCACCAACAGTATATTTCTGAAGAGCTAGCAAAAGGTGATTAATTGAAAATGTAATGCATGACTAGACAAGGAGTTTTGTGAGATGCTGATCTGTCCTTGACCTGGCTTAACGCCTGGTATTAACGTTGGCTGCAAAAACCTGCCGTATGGACGCTGGCATCCCAAAAGATGCCGTGGCACCGGAAAGCTGCAAACACACCTTGGGTTGGACTGTGCATGGACACCCACACAGCAGTTAAAAGACAGCATTCATTAATCTCATTGACTTTGGTCCATCTTCCACCTTCCAGGGTGTGTGTTACGAATACGTACCTGCTTGCAATGTTAACTCTGCTTTATAACATCTATTAGTGAAAGCCATGGACAGCTTTCTTAAACACTGCGGTCCAGCAGCTGGAATGTCCATGGAGGCTGCTCGCTTGTGCGCTGGAGAACATCGCTGCTAGGGGCATCATCCAGTAGAGTTTCAAGCAAAATGAAAACCCCCAAAAAGGAGGAGGAGGAGGTAAAAACTGAGAATGACCTAAATGATATCATAGAATGATCTGAACAGAGGCCTGCTGTGCGGAGGAGGCAAGATCTCTGTGACCTGCCTCTTAAGTCCCTCCGCTGGCACACTGCGAGAGGTGACATCTCTGCCAGCAGGGCTGGCTGGGCGAGCATCCAGTCTGGTGACCTGCTTCGGCCAGAGTGACCCATGTTAGCTTAACCTGGTTACAGCGTGGCCCTGCTAACCTCGCTCGCTCAGGGCTGCAGCGGGTTAGCAGGTTTGGGCGGGCAGTAATCTCCAGCAACGAGCAGCTGGGGGTGGTGGTACAATTCTTTGGTATAGCTGGATCAGGAGCAGTGAGCATGTTCCCAGCCCCAGAAATGGGACAGGCTGCTAATGCCAAACCTGCTTTCAGTGATCGGTTTTTGCAGAAGTGAGCCTGACCCAACTATAGAGGGTATGTGCACGCAGGAGCGTCTGGTCACCTTGTAGTCATCTTGTTGAAAACCAAAGTCGTGCTTTAGCAGCGGGCTCGAATCAATACATTGTTGTTTCCTCCCACAAGGGTTTGTGTGCAGTTCTACGTAAGTACCCTGTGCATCACAAATCACTGCTTGGGTGCTGTGCATGCGTTTCTTCCAAGAGCCCTGTGTTGGCTACTTGATAGGATTTAAAGGTCTGGTCCCAGAAGAGGAGGATGTAGGAAAAAGCTGCATTGTTTTGCATCAAGGAAATATGTGGGTAAATAGTTTCAACTGTTTAAAATGGAAGTTACTCATGCAAAACTCTGGGTTTACTAAATAACAGATTTGTTTTCTGACTATCCTAGGCTTTTGGGCAGGCCCATACCAACCACAAGAAGGTAGCAGCAGATGGAGAGAGCAGAGAGGAGACCTTGATTCAGGAATCGGCCACTAAGGAAGAGTACTACATGAAGAAGGTGATGGAGTTGCAGACAGAACTGAAGCAGCTCAGAAATGTCCTTGCCAACACCCAGTCTGAAAATGAACGCCTTAATTCTGTTGCACAGGAACTGAAAGAGGTGAGTGAAGGTGCACAGCGCGCACCACAGCTCGTCTTGTGGTTATGTTTCCTTGTGCTGCATAACAAAAATAAGGAAGATTCTTGAGCTGATCAGTATCTGCTTAACACTGGCATCTGTGAAGATGGGTTGTCTCTCCAAGACTTCAGCAGTGCGTTACATCCAGCTGAAGCTGTAATTCGGCGGTATAGTAAACCCAGCTTTCTGGTTCCACCCACTGAACCAGCCTGTTGTGGCCACAGTGTTTCTGACCTAGTACAGACTCACTCTGCCTTGTTTAAATACCTCTAGTTCTGCAGTAACCACTCTGTTGTCTCTCAGCTCATTCGACACGGATGTGACTGCATATCTGGGCCACGCTGCTGCTGTGGCTGTCGTGTATCGGTACTGTCAGTCTGAGAACTGCTGCCTTAAGAAGCTGGGGAATCTGTTCGGTGCAAGCACAGAGGTGCTTTGGGTGCATTTTTTCTGCCTCGCTCCCAATACAGATTTTCTTGCTGCAAAATATTTGGAACATAATTTCCCCTTTTATCACTTTTCCCACCCTAACTTCTAAGGATGTGGGAGCATAACAAAACCCTGAATTGCAAAAGAGGAGCAATATCAAAGTTTATAGTCTCATGTTTTCTCTCATGGAAGTGATGGCTTTTACTTTTTCATAAGTTGCTTAACTTATGACCTCAAAGTACCTTGGACCTTTTACTGCTTTGGTATTGAAACTGCCTGTTTCTGAGGGGAAGTAATCACTGAAAAATTGACTTTAAAAGTTTAAGTACTGATGAAATCTGTAACTCAGTAGGAGTCTCTGTGGCACCGATGCAGAAAGATTGTTTTGAGAGCTCAAACCATTGCTTAAATTTAGACTGGGTACGAGTTACAGAGCCTGCAAACCACAGGTGAATGTGGTAAACAGTCCGCAGTTACTGCTTGTGAGCTTTCTTGCCCCTTCCTTCGAAGCACTGCTTACGAGTGAGTCTGGCCCCAAGGTGGTTGACCGGCCTCCCCTGCCTGGAAGGGAGGTTATGGAAGAACCCACATCTTAATCTCAACATACTCTACACAATGACAGCTGAAAATCAGGGGTGTCTGATTTAATGTCTTTAGGACATAGTAACAAATACGTGGGTAATATTTGGTGGTAAAATGCATGAGGAAATGTGGGTGACTTCTGTGGAGATGTGGGGGTGCAGTAGTACTTCTCTCTGGGGTACGGCAGAGAAGGAGATTTTTCAGGGCAAACTGTCAGAGGTGGTCAAACAGGCCAGCCAAGCACTCCTCTAATTTCATGGGTCCTGGCTGTGTGGTAACAGAGCTGGAGCCAGGCCACGTCCTCTGCTTAGGCAAGGAACCAGTTCCTGCAAGCACGCACAGAACTCCTGCCTTTATTTCCTAACCTTTAAGAACAGCTTAAAGGAAAAGCTCCCCACCCCAGAGGCAGCGCCGTGCCTGTACCAGACGCCAAACGTGGCTCAGAAGTGTGCTGATCAGCAGATTGCAGCCCAGCTCCCTGCGTCACTGCAGCTGAAGGTGATTTTTCCTTCTAGGTGCTGCCATGTTTCAGCCACCTTTCCCTGGAGCTGCATTTTGCTTTACACAGCCCTCAGCTGAGCTGTCAGTTTGCAAGGGTTTAGGGTGGGTTTTGTCTTGTGCCTTGTTCTCCCTCCCCAACCGTGCCCTCTTGTGCGCTTGTGTGAGATGCTCCCCAGTGGGAGCTGAGCAGCACGGAGGAGGGGAAGGGGGTGATGTCAGGTTTATCATGAAGATTTTAATTTTTTTTAAGAA